ATTAGTGGGGTTTTAAAGTGTATTCTTACTTATTCTTAATATGTTTTTCAACTTACTTTTTATTCTTTCTATGTAGCTAAATTGACAATAAATCTATTCTTCTTAGGCAGGTAAAATGTTTACCATGTTGTACTAGCGTTCACAAATTAGCACTCAACACATAGTGCAGTACAGAGACTGATGGGAAAGCATTAGTTTTCCAGATATTTGGTCACATACCAGACTAAGAGACTTTTGAGGCTAGTGCTATGTAGCGTCATTGGAAAAGAGTTGGCAAAAATGTAGAGGACGCATGTATTTAGTTTAATAAATCAAGCCTTAATTGACCAGCAAGAACGTAATAGGTGGCAGACCTGTCCTAGTGAAAGTGAGCCTTAAAGGGAACTAATTTAAAATTCTGTGGTGTCATTATGCTTCAGCCATTACATTATGCAATCAACATTGCAAGTGAAAGCTAAAAACTTGTCCATCACCTTAAAGATATAGTTATTTAGATATTCCACGCAAAAAACAACATTTTCAACCTCATTGTGGCACTAGAAGAAAAGGTCATGAGGGTTCATCTTCTGGGGAACATGAATGTCTGTACCAAACTTAATGGCAATCCATAAGAAAGTTGTTTGTCGTAATCTATACTAACTGGTACTATAAGCTAGTGAGGCTGAAAGTCTTTATCAACATCCAACTCGTATTCACTGACTCAGGTGAAAGTGAGAGCCTGCATGAGCAACGTTGCGGTTGGTCAGGAGGAGGAAGTGGTGTCTGACAGCACAAATGACTGACACAAGTAGTGAGGGAGTTGGACAGATGAGAGCCACAGGCACTGGGAGAAGAAGGGGTGGGGGGGTCCGAGGGTCAACACATCGCCTGTGCACTGAGTGTGGCCCAGCAGCTGTATGCATAGGGGAGCCTTGGCCTCCTGCTCTGCATGTCACAGGCCGTGATTAATGACCTGCAGGCCTGACACTTTACCCCCCCGTCCTCCTCCTCTGACTGCAGCCACTGCTCCTTTAGCTAATGGACACAGCCATGCAGGGGTTTCATACGAGTGCACATACATGTGAAATGAAAGCAATTTCCTGCTTACAAAACGACCCATTTTGGTCCAGGCTCTGTCATTTCAGGGCGATAATTTCTTAGATTACAGTGTGCCTGTGCAGCGTCTGAAAGGCTGGGGGGGAGCCGTGCCTGTGTACTGGTTCCCAGCTTGTCAGGCAGCTGTCGAGGAGTGATTTATGACCACTAGACTCCAACCTGTCTTCACTGCCAGTTCAGTATTGTTACAACTGACAGCTAATGAGGCCAGACATGCTTTCAAGCAGAGCACTTAACAGGACTTCAATCTTCCCCCGTCACGACTACCATTTTTGCACTCTCTCTCTCTCTGGGCACACAGCACCTCCTTTCTCTATGCCGGCCTTGTTCTCTGTCGTTCTGTGCTGGAATATCTGACAGGCACTGAAAAGGGCTTCTGCCTTCCAAAAGGAGATATTTCTGAGAAAGCAGCAGAAAGTGCCACCATCGTTCACATTTAATCTAATGACAAAACCCTTTTCGTACCAGGCTTTTGAGGAAATTACACAAAATGTTAGTTTTCTTGCAGAGATAGAGAAGAATGGCTGATCTCATTTCTGTACGCTAAATTTAAAGCTGCAGAAAGGAGAGGGTTAGTTTAGCATAAAGATCTGATTATAACCTTAATCTGTCAAAACAAAACAAACTAAAAACTAAACTCATCCAACAATTCAAATTCATTCAAATATATACTTCCAAAATAAAACTCCACTAGATTTTATTCCATCTCATTTATTTGACACCTATAGTTACTTAACAGATGTAAATGTTTGGTATTTTCCTAATAAGTTCCTAGAATGATTATCGTCATCTCTGGCTTTTACACTTTAGTGTCTGTAATGATAAAACAAATGATGTGCCTGACTGCATAATTAGAAGATAATGGTTATAAAGCATTTCAACTTTTATTTTGTCATTCATTATGTCATGATTAAGTGGACAACCATATATAATTGAAACAATTATTGTAATATCTGTTTTGACTGTAGGCTACTTAGCCTACTCTGTGAATTCAACTAATTAAGAATAATGTGTATTTGTTTTCTATTATGTTACTACATCCACCCTGCCCCGTTTATTTGGAAAGTGAACCAGTAAACACTGTCTGGGTTTCACAGCTCTCCTTTCCTGAATAAGCAGTCAGTTTATAACAGTCTCTGGCAGCTTCCCAACCTTTAACCCCTTGTTCCCTGTCAGCCATGATTAATGGCAGGCTAAATGCTACCTAGCTGCTAGCTTGCATTGCCGGCGGTGTCCTCTGGATACTTAATAAACTCTGACAGGTCTTTTCCCCAACTGATGTGTTCATTAAACGCTGCAACAGCGACGCCGGGAGGCCGATGAAAGAAAATACAGACAACTAAATATTTAACTTTAAGACAATTGTATTTAATATTTAAGTGTTTTATGACATATAATAGGTGTACATGGTTTAGACATGTACTACTTATTTGTATATCAGATGTCTTTTATTGAACATATGTTGCAGTTGTGCAATATGTATTGTGCAGTGTTGTAAAGTAACTAAGTACATTTACTCAAGTACTCTACTTAAGTGGAACTTTGAGGTGCTTGTACTTGATTTAAAAAGAAATCTACTTTGTACCTCCACTACAATTCAGAGGAAAATTGTGTACTTTTACTCCACTACATTTATTGAATATCTTTAGTTACTTTACAGATTTGAATTAATAATGTGAAATATAATCAACAATTAAATAAGACTTTAGTTACACCTGGAGTAAATTTACAAGCTACCCTGCAGTATACAAAGTCATTAAAACTAGCTGCACCTTTACCAGCTTTGAGAACACTTTAATGATCAATAATTATAATCAACACATAAAATATATATTATTCTGAATTGGGGCAATCTGCTTAATGAGTACTTTTACTTTTGGTACTTTAAGTATATTTTGATGGCAATACTTTTCTACTTTTACTTGAGTAACATTTTGATTGCAGGACTTACTTGTAACAGAGTATTGCTACACTCTGGTTCTTCTACTTTTACTTAAGTAAAAGATCTGAGTACATTACCCACCTTTGGTATTGTTTAATCAAGAAACATTTTTTACAGAGCAAGTGAGTCTCCCGATAACATCTGACAAGCAGACACTGTTTTTTATCAGAAGTGATGTGCAACAGAAGAATGTAAAGCACTGATTTAAACTCCAACAATACAGTTTATTTTATAATATTATATTGTTTGCCTTTATTTAACCAGGTAAAATCCCATTGAGATCAAACGATCTCTTTTTCAAGGGAGACCTGCACAGTTGGTTACACATGAAAACATAAAGACAACAGAAAACAAAAAGGACATCATACAAAACATAATTACAGGGGTACAATTGACAAACCTATTGACATTGACAGGTACCAAGATTATCATATTGCATTGCATCTAGCTGTGCTTTAAAATGATGCAGGGGAACCAAGATGCTCAGTTTCAGTTCTTTTTGCAGAGTGTTCCAAGCTAGAGGAGCTGCGCACATAAAAGCTTTCGTACCTAAATCAGTCCTAGCACTTGGCACATGTAACAAAAACACATCCTGAGATCTTAGGCAATAGCTACTTGCAACTCTCTGTGAGATCAGAGAGCAGATGTAAGCTGGTAGTTTACCCAACATGGCTTTGTAGATGAACATGTACCAATGACTGAGCCTCCATACAGGGTACAGTGATGAGTAAGTACTTTACAGTTAGTAACAAATCTCAGCGCACTGTGATAGGCGGTGTAAGAGTCGGGAGGAGCTGATAATTTATTCCGGCAAATTACTCAGACCTACTAATTAACCTAACCGAAGTTATTCTAACTTGTTCAGGTAATGGGCAGGTGCATTCATATAGATCAGATCACCATAGTCCAGCACAGGTATATACCTGTATGGCTGTATATATATATATATATATATATATAAATATTAAATGTTATAAAAAAAGCAATGGAAATACTAAATTAAACTACAAATACTTCAATACTGTATTCAAGTAGAAACAAATGTAATAATAATAGCTTTATTTGTAATGCACCTTTCATGCAAGGATGCAGCTCAAAGTGCTTAACACAACAAGATGAGATGCAGAAAAACAATAAAATAAGCAAAACGTTTAAAAAATAAGACATAAAAGTTTGGTCATAATATAACAAAACATGAAGTAGCAATACCACAGTATAAGTAAAAGTCCTGCATTAAAAAGGTAAGCATGTACAGTATTAGCATTAATGGTCATTAGGTATAACGGCCCTTTTCACAATCAAATTGATCATATTATTGGATTTAATGGATTATCATTGTTGATGCAAAATGTGTACATCATGTCAATGTTGCATCTAGTAAAGGTGTAGTTAACTATAGCTATTGTGCAGTAAAGGTACTATGTTTGCCTCTTAGTAGTAGAGTGGACATTTAAAGTACAGCAAAAAATTATACTCAAATAAAGTGCACAAATGAAAAGTACTATTTAAGCAAAGTAAATCAGCAGATGTAGGAATACTTTGAATGCAGGCCTTTCCTTTCCTTTTGAATACTGCTTCCACGTCCTCAGTCTGCAGGGTCACCTGAGGGGAAAAAACTCACCTGAAGTAGAGACATGATATCACCTAGACTCTGCTGCCCCCTGCTGGAAGTCCCTCTCAAATACACTCTGTTACAACATCAAAGTTATAACAGTTTAAAAGTTGCAGGAAGTTGACTAACTGAAAGAATGTTTGGAACCAGCCTCACAAAGTAAGTGGGACTCTTTTACTGGTTCCTTGTGAGAAGTTATATGGCACTGTTATATTATGGACAGGTAATGCAGGCTCCTTCTGCAGGAGTTGTCCCAGCATTGTCTGTCCCCCAGCAGCGGGAGCCTCTTGTCCCCTCTTGTTCCCAATTGTTGTTCCCTGCTGCTCCCTGCTGCTCCCTCCCCTTTCCCGGCTCCTCCTCTGTAGGCCAGGGCTTCTCGCTCCACCGAGCAGATCCTCCAACAAAAAAAAAACTTTCCGTGCCGGCTTCCTGAAACTTCTGTGCAACTTATGGAAGGGGAAGCGTAAGAAATGAGAAATAAAGAACCATGGTACTGATGACCGAGCAGGCGGACAGACCTCTGACCCCGGCCTCCACACCGGAGCAACTTCTCTACTCCCGCGGGAATCGGACGACGTAAGTCTGGATAAGATGGAGAGGAAGGGCCCGGGCTGCCTTCCAGGCCTAATGCATTGTGGTTATTTGCATTCATATCCTGTAGTTGTTATATGAAACACCGTGCTCACTTTTGTATGAATGCATACGTGGCACGGAATAAGCAAATAACTCGCATGTAAGCGACAATACTTTACGTAATATGCTAGTTTTGAATTATAACAATGGTCTGCTCTGCTCCACAATGCATTACTTACAGATGTACTGCATACTTAATGTGTTGGTACACGTTTGACAGTCTTGTGTAGGTGATTTATGTGCAGAAACATAGAGAATAGTGTCCTGTGTGATGTCTCCAGGTCTGATGTGGATCATGGGGGGGAGAGGAGACAGAGGAAGCATGGAGGGTCCCCTGCAGACCCCCAGGTGGGTGGGGACCCAGAGGCAGACCCCTCAGAGAGCAGGAAGAAAGCAGCAGGCATGAGGTGAGGTGCTCTTATTGATACAAACTAGTATAGCTGAATGAATCGGACAACGTATTGCTGTTTAATTCATTTTTATTGCATATTCAAGCAGTACAGGATTGGATGATTCTTCTCTGTTTACATTTTTTTTTCTCATGAAAAATCAATCAATACATTTTAAGTTGTTATCTATTTGTTAGGTCCTTTATTTCAACAGGTAGTCCCACTGTAAGCATGTAGCTATACAAATGTAATAACCGGATCATAGCTTAACTCCTGTTGCTATTTATACTTAATACATGTTTACTCTTATTTTACTTTTATTATTTTAATTCCCGTTTATATTCCATGTATAATATCTGTGTTTCTTCTATTCTGTTGCTGCCTTGACAAGTGAATTTCCCTATGGGGACTATTAAAGGCCCATCTTATCTTATCTTAAAGGGCCCATGTCATGCTTTTCTGGTTATTACCCATCCCCTTGTGTGTTATGAAGGTTTTTCTGCATGTAAACGGTCTGCAAAGTCACAAATCCTCAAAGTACACCCTGTAGCGAGTAAAACTCAGAAAAGACCTGTCTATGCTGCCCCAGAACGCCTCGTTGGAGATTTTCTTTTTCAATTTTTTTCTTCCGGGAACCAAGTGACGTAACGACAACCCCTCCGTGGATTGGTCAAAATGGACCAATCCGTGGAGCCGTTACGTTACGACCGCGGAGCCGTTCCTCACACACACACACACTCAATCTTTTCTCAGCTGCAGCTCCGCCAACGACGGCGGGACGCTGTGAGTCGGTGTGTGAGCACACACACAAACTCCCAGCTAGGGTGTGTGTGTGTGTGTTCGGGATGGTTTCGCTGTCTCGCAGACGGCCACTGGGCTCATAGGGAGGGGGGGGGCAGGAGCTCCAACAAGCCGTTTAGGACAGAGAGTGAATACACATACCATTCAGAGATGCTGTATGAGAAACCTATGTGAGTTTGGCAAATTGCACAATATAAATCTATTCTAGTAGACCTCAACAATGGAATTATGATCAGTAGAAATGGCCATGACATGGGACCTTTAAACACACAGTTTAAGTATGGGCAGAAAAACACAATTTAAACATTATTTTCTTATTAAGAGAAGCAATTACAATTGGATTTGCACTTTTGTCAATGTAGGCTTTTACAATTGATTGATAATAAAGGACATTGTTTATTCTATCCCTAAAACAGCTACTGTATATACATATTGTTGAATATTAAACAACTTAATCTAGATTCCTTGAGTGTAGATTACATCTAAACGTTCACATTTTGGATTGCCATTAACTGGATTGTTGCATAAATAGAAAATGTGGCCTCTACGGCAAACATGCTATTGTATATGAATTATCAGTGCTATATTGAAATGTGTAATTGTTCATTTGTAATACCCTAAAGAAAAACAAGGAATATCAATTATTTCTCTGATTAAACAGGATCTATTCCACTAACGTTGTGAAAACAGCACTGTTAATGCACCAGTTACTGTCAACCTGCAAAAGTGGTGTTTACATACTGCTGTTGCTGTGTAAGCAGTCTTTATGTAACCACAGCTGACAGCAAAGCCAAATAAAGAACACCTTTACTTAAAGTGGACCTATCATGCTATATTTAAATGATATATTGTAGGGCCATACCTATATAAGGTATATTTATACGTTTCTGTTTTCAAAATACCAAACATCATGCATTTTAGCCATGCCTCATTTCGCTCTATTTGCTGTTCTCCAGCCCTGTTTTTGCAGCGGGCTGATTCTGTGAGCTGCAGCTGACCACGCCCCCCTGCAGGAGAGGGGAGCCGCTCTGATCAAGTCAGAAGAGGGGGAGAAAAATAGATCTCCGTCCTCCGTGTTTTATTATAGCCTATTATTATATAGAGTCGTTATAGAGTGGCGAAGTCACGCCCACATACTTCCGGGTAATGGGACCTTATTTCGGAAAAATTATGCATTGAAGTCAATGGGGAGAGAAAACTTATCTTTCGATCCCGTTTGAATTGTGCCACGAATTACACATATGATGTTTGTCAATTTAAAAGATAATTTTGCAAGTCAAAAAAAAAAAAATGTGTCGTAAAATTGTGAAGTAACACATTTGTTTGTGTGAAACGCTCAATGAACTACATCTCTGGTCTCACAGAACAACACACGTCACCAAGATGGCCGTCACTACTGTCAACAAAACGATTGGCTACCCTCACTATCACCACAATGAAACACGTCCTGAAGAATGTCATGCAAAGCTGCCTGCCTTTCTTTGATTCTCTCTGCACTGCCTGGTCGTTTTAATGTTTAATGTCAACCATTTGTGCAGATAGCATGAAGTAGAGAAGATCGCTAGCGTTAGCGTTAGCATTTCTCCCCCGGGCTTAAATTGTGTATTATAGAATGATCACACCGGTGACAGTACTATTCAAAGGGTTCACGAAATATGACTACTACTCTTACTGTTTAACATGTTGGGTTACTTCATGTTACTTCATGTTAAGGTCACAGTTTGTCTTAAAACTGTTGAAATATAAGACTTTGAAAAATATGCAACTAGAAAGACTACAAATTCCAGAGTCGCGTAAGTGATGTCACAATAGCTAAGATCAGCGCCATATAGATATAATTATCTATATGGCGCTGGCTAAGATAAGATAACTTTAACAAGATGCCTGTGTGCTTAGTACCAGGTTGTTATCATACCAGCAATGGGTCTTGCTCATTCTTTCGCTTCCCGTCTGATGAAAGGACTAGGAGTGTCTGGATCAAGCTAGCTAGTAGCTAGCACATTAGTTAGCATTACAGCCGTGTCATTTTTATTAGCCTTAACATGAAGTAACATGAAGTAACCCAACATGTTAAACAGTAAGAGTAGTAGTCATATTTCGTGAACCCTTTGAATAGTACTGTCACACCGGTGTGATCATTCTATAATACACAATTTAAGCCCGGGGGAGAAATGCTAACGCTAGCGATCTTCTCTACTTCATGCTATCTGCACAAATGGTTGACATTAAACATTAAAACGACCAGGCAGTTCAGAGAGAATCAAAGGAAGGCAGGCAGCTTTGCATGACATTCTTCAGGACGTGTTTCATTGTGGTGATAGTGAGGGTAGCCAATCGTTTTGTTGACAGTAGTGACGGCCATCTTGGTGACGTGTGTTGTTCTGTGAGACCAGAGATGTAGTTCATTGAGCGTTTCACACAAACAAATGTGTTACTTCACAATTTTACGACACATTTTTTTTTTTTGACTTGCAAAATTATCTTTTAAATTGACAAACATCATATGTGTAATTCGTGGCACAATTCAAACGGGATCGAAAGATAATCTTTCTCTCTCCATTGACTTCAATACATAATTTTTCCGAAATAAGGTCCCATGGAGGTCCACCGGAAGGGGAGGGACTTCGCCACTCTATTCATTTGTTTTAAAGCTCAATAAATAACAAAGAAGACCTTTGACCGGCACTTTTCTAATTTTGTCCGGAAGATTTAAACTTTAACGGACATCTTGACCGGCGAAAGAAAACCTAACTGAAACTCTGCCGCACGGTCCCCTCGTTCCTTGGAAGAGGCGGAGAGGTGGGTGTTTGTCATCTGCTGGTGGACTAACCGGAGAGAATTACAGTGCTTGCCTTCGGGGAGGGATTGCATTGAATTAAAGCAGCAGGAGCAAACGCTTGCCTCGGGGAGGGAGAAAAAAAGCCACAGCGGATAATAAACAGAAGGGTAACCATGCGCGGGAAGTCTTCTTCGCTGCTTTTGTGGCAGACTACAGCGCCACTTACAGGCCTGGCATATGTACTACAGCGTCTCCAGCGCTTTCGAGCGGCAAGGGCCGGCCGTGGCCCAACCCTACATTCCCCTGATAGGTGGAGAGTTGGCCCAATAGCCGTAGCGCCACCGTCCTGACGTCAGGACAGTGTTCAAATCTGGATCAGTTTTTATCAGATCTGTTGCAGCCCCTTTTTTAGAGATGTTGGTATGGTGGAAAATAGAGAGGGTTGTGTTTTCTGACACTTGGTGAGTTCCCTGGAACACCGGGGACACATATTCATGTATAAAAGACGTACAAAAGTGCATTTTGCATGATAGGTCCCCTTTAAAGAAACATTCTGTGAGCGTGAGATCACACATCATGTTTGTATCAGGAGTTATAACGCTGGTATATCAGCCTTCCTGCTAAGGTGTCACTTTAACATTAACACTGACCTTTATCTGTCAGATTGAAACCTGTGGAGCAGCTTTCACCACTGCTGACTCCCAGTGAATGTGAAACAAAGATTGAACGGAAAAAGTCCCAGCCTACCCACGTATGTATAATTCTTATCTAATCATCAAACTCCTAACAAAATGGACACCTTTTTGCAGTTTCTTAACACAATAATACTCTGTGTTCTTTCAGATTTCAAAGACAACCCTCCATTATCATAAGCTATTCAAGGATGTCAGCAAAGATGAGCTCCTCAAACAAAGTAAGTTTCAGACTCTCTTTTCCCGTAAAGAAGCAAAGCCATGTTACTTAGTGCTGTTTGTTTTCACACAGGCTACACTTGCGCCCTGCAGAAGGACATTTTGTATCAGGGCAAAATGTTCATCTCTGATAACTGGATCTGCTTCCACTCCAAAGTCTTCGGTCGAGATACAAAGGTACGATACTGCAAGTGTTATGAAGTTCATGTTTTATGGCTGAAGTCCCTTGTATAACATGGCTGTGTTTTCTCCAGATTTCTATCCCTGCGGTGACTGTGACGTTTATCAAAAAAGCTAAAACTGCATTGTTAGTGCCAAACGCCCTTGTGATTGAAACGACCTGTGATCAGGTAAGAAAAGAAAATCATTTTTTTAACCCTTTTTGTCATAAACATGAACGTGATTCTAAAATAATATAATGTTTTCCAGCATGTTTTTGTGTCACTCCTCTCCCGAAACACCACCTACACACTTCTGAAGTCCATCTGCATTCAGTTGGAGGTAAATATTTCTAATGAACACATATGTGTCCTGATATAATGAAATGCTTTTGATTTTATAAAGAACAATTCTAGTATGAACATTTGGTGAAGATGAGAGATGAATGGATAAACTCAAAATTCATACAACTACTTCATCAAATATTTTATGCCCAAATATTAAACTTTTGCCGGTTCAGGCTAGACAGAAATACAGTTTATTACGGTCTAAACACGAATGAAAACCAAAAGATTTTAACCTTGAATTCTTTCTCTGGGGAACTATGCTTATCTTTTCCTTTTGGAGGTGGTGGAGACCAAAATGGGAGCTAACATATAGTTAATATTAGACTTATATTTATGATGTTACACAAACACCACTTCAAATATTTGCCAATTTTGCAACGTGTCTGCTGGATGTGTAAATGGATGATGATAATAATTTAGAGTTGATTTACAGATCTTTTCACATATCTTTATAAACTGGATTTTGTGATTACATGAGACTAATTAAATGGATTGAGTGATTGACAGCTACTGCTGAAAAGTGGCTAAAATGTCTTTAAAATACACATGAATGTATATGTATTCTGTCGTTGCAGGTGGAAAAGCCGTGTAGCAGCCCTGTTATTTCCTCCAGTGAAAACAGCTTCAGGGTGAAATGCCCATCCTCTCTTCCTCTGGTCAGTCTGGTTCTCCAATTTCATGTGATGTTTTTTTACAGGATGTATTTATTTTCTACTGGGATAAAAGATCTACAGAAATGCCTTGTTCTCATGTTATACAACACCCTCTCTGTATGTGGTCCCATTGTGTATTATATGTATGTATGTGCACTGCAGGACTTTTCTGCAGACTTTTCTGCAGACTTCTCCGACCTCGATGGGGTTGTGCAACGAAGGCGTCACGAGATGATGGAGAGCAGCAGCTCCGGGTCTCAAACTCCAGATTACGACAAAATAAATGGTGCGTGCTCCATCCTCCTCCCTCTATGTCTACGTCTGCCCTTTACAAGCTACTGTACACTTACTTTAATCTGGTGGATACACTATTGTATGTGCTTAGGGTGTTGGGTTTCACTGTGGCCCAGACAGCCTTTAGTTTGCAAATAGCTGAAGGGAAGCCAAGAGAAATTTGAGCCGTCGAGGCTTTGCTTTGTGTTATAGCAAAGCCAGTTGGCATGGTGATGATCCCATTGAGTGATAATAACATCTTTAGATTTTATTGTTAGCTTCTTTTTTCATCTGTCAAGCAAACATAGAGCGCTTGTAGATCTGAAAAGACGTTGTTGTGTCTATTAATAATATTTACTCAGACACAAGTTCTTTTGTGTTTGTTCGAGCAGACTTCACCAGCCTCCCGGACACATTTCTGAGTGCCGTGAAGAGCGGGGAGGTTTCAGTCCACGCAGACGTTCACCTCCAGACTCCAAGCCAAAAACACGGAGCTGCCCTGAATAACGGTAGTTTGAAAATACATCTTTAATTAAAAGAAGCTTTAAGGAGTTAGTGTATCCCAAAATAAATTCAATTAAAGCAATCAATGTTTATTTAAAGGAATAGTTTGACAAATACTCTGGTTTGCCATTTTGCTGAGAGTTACATGACAAAGATCCATACCACTCTCATGGCTTCATAGTAAAAAATAAAGCCACCACCATCAACTGGTTAGCTTAGCTTAGCACTAACACTGGAAACAGGAGAACGCCTGACTTTCTCAAAGATGTATAATCCCCCTGGTAAACTACTAGGGGCTGTTGTTACAGTTACATAACAACATATAATGTCTTAAGTAATGAGTTGAGAGGTTCATTAAGGGGATTTGTTCAACCTTTGGAAAAAGCCTGGCTAGCTGTTTCCCCCTTTTTAAAATAATAATAATAATACATTATATTTGTATATTACTGGTACCTTATACATGCAGCATAAAAAGCTTTAAAAAAAGGGAACATATACATATAATAGAATAAAAAACCGGTAGAGAATTACATTATTAATTAAAATAAGATAGGGAGGGGGGGGGGGTAAAGAGAAAAAAAAGATAATATTATAGAATTCATAGAATGCAAAACCTAAGATGGGAAATAATAACCACTAAATCATTAAAATAATAATAACAATAAAGTTAAAATAATTATAATATTACCATACAGACATGGCAATAAGAAGAATTAAAACAATTCAAATAATGTATACAAATGTATGTGTTTATTATTAATATGTTCTAAAAAGTTTATATGCAAGTTATTTAAATATATAGTTTACTCTGCATTGTGTTTGGATATATTCGAAAATAATAATTAAATGTGAACACTATGCTAACCCTGTAATAGTTGTTGTATGATATTTATGGTATAGATTGGAGAGTGGTATTGTTATATAATTGTAATAATATCTATCGTTCTGTTTTTCCTTGTAGGGGGTACTAAGCTCAAAGGCAAATCCTCACAGCCCATGTCGTTACACACCATCCTCCTCATCTATTTGTTTCTGTGAGTAACCTTTCATTATGTGGCATACGAGACTCTGACAAGGCAATTGATTTATTGATTCATATTCATCACTTGGGCATGTTGGTCATTGTTCTGTGTGTTTAATGTTTGATCTGTCACTGTGTGTGTGTGTCTCCTCACAGAGTTAGTGTCCTCGTCCTGTCCTCCTGTTACATGGCTTTCAAAATTGTGGCTCTTGAGCATCGTTTGAGCTCCTTGGTGTCCATGGGGGAACACATCCGTAATGAGTAAGAGATAGATTCACATGTTACTGACGTGGTATTGGTGTTAGAGTTACCAAACAGTAAAACAATTACTCATACTATTTGATTTATTTTGGTAGTTAAGTTTGTTTATGATATAAGTGCAAATGTTGTTGCAGAAATGCTGTGAGCCGCAGACCCCAGGATGAAGTGAATGCTGAGATTTTTGGAGAACTTTCTTCGAACTTATTCAAGCTGGAAAAGGTTTGTCCCCTTTTTGTGAACACAGCAACATATGGTCACTGAAATCTAAAGTTCTCTAGTTTTAATATTTGTCATATCATATATCAAAATGTTATGAATTGATTTCCATTTTCCAAGTGTCATATTAACTAACATTTAAAGTAGTGCAACAAAAAAAAATGCGTAGTGCCAAATTCCATAAAAAAACATGTTAATTTTTGTAACAGTAGTGTGAAGGTTATATTATTATCTGGGCTCTTGTGAGTTATTTTCTGTACAACAAAGCTAAAGCCAGGAGACGATTAGAATAGCTTAGCATAAAGAGTGGAAACAGCCAGCTGGCTCTTATCAATGGCAACAAACAATTTACTAACCACCAGCTCTTAAACCTACTAGTTATCAAGTTAAATCTAGTTTTTTTATCCAGAACAAAGTCTACAATGTATTTGTTAGAACAATCATTAACAGAGGAGGACATTGCAGTCAGCCCTTTTTCTGTTGTCTCTCTTTATTAGAAAAGTTCATGTTGCAAATTGTGCGTAGCTGTGGTTGAGGCAGACACATGTAACACAAGCAATAACCAGAGCTTCCTTTTTATCAGTGACTCTCAAAAGGGTTCGGCAGATGGGAGATTGGAGGGGGGGGGGAGGAATTTATCGATGATCTGGTTATCAATATGCTGACATGGAAGCTGTGATGTTTTGCCTCTGTGTTGCCGAGGCTGCTGTGTGTTAGACGGCAGGTTTTGCTGAGTCGTGTGTTCAGTGATAAGAGTTCTGCCGAACTATGATCCCGCTGTTCACTGTTGGCAGTGATCCACCAATAAAAAAAGCATGACATGTAGCATAACTTAATTACTTTGGGAGTTTTTATTTATCTGTTGCTCTTTAATGTTTTTGATAATGGTATCACACAACCAGAGTTACAGCGTTAAATTTAGCTTTTTTCTGCTGATAAGAAGGCCCTGACACACCAAGCCGACGATAAGCGGTCAATGTGTTCCTAGTTTTTGCAGTGTATGCCATGCCAAGACTCATCAGTAGTCATCTCCACCCTTTATCTCATTGACGTTTATTAATAGTTCATACCTGTTTTCCAGTTGCATTGTCTGGGATGACTGTTGTCTATGCTTATACACACTTTTCGCTATCAATGCCAGGTGTTTTGGCTTCGATCTTACGCTTTAGTACCCAGAATATCCCAGCAGGACTTTGGTGTGTTGTAATATAGTCCAGGGTAGCATTAGAGGGTTAAACAAATAAGATATAACATGGTAAACATTGAGCTTTAGAGTTGCTAGTAGGCAGGTTTGGATTAATTTGGACAGAGCCAGTCTAGCTGTTTCCCTACATTTTCATTGTTTATGCTAAGCTAAGCTAACCATGTGCTGGCTGTAGCTTCAAATTTAAAGGACAGATATAATAGTGTTATTGATCTTCTCTTCCTAATTTCGTCAATGCTGTTTTTGAAAGATTCTATGGAGGTATCTGAAGTTATATATACTTAATTGTGGTTTATTATTTTCTATCTGAGCATGTTGTCCTTCATCTTTTATATCCTAGATTCAGAGGAGCCTGCGGAAGCTACTTGAAGAGACTTAAAAGAAGACTTTTTGTCTGTCCAGACAGAAGCTTTACTTTCTCTGTTAAAAAAAGGTTGGTTTATCACTGAAGATCAGCAGTGATCACATTTGGTTATAGATTTGTTGCCAAAGCACAGACGGATCATACACAAAGCTTTCTTAAAACTGTGTGAACTTTAACTTAAATTGTGCAATAATAGCTTCTTTCCACTTTGCACTCAGGACTATTTTATTACTATTTCTTTAGAAAATCTTGTGCTGGAGGGTAAATGGAAGCAGTGTGTTAGTGAAAAGAAAGCTTAGGCATTGATGCAGTATTTATCAGAGCTTTTAATTTGCATTTCACAATAGAAAGGTATTTTTAAAGGTCCAAAGGTCATATTTCAATGTCTTTTAAACATTTCTTAAGAGGTCAACTTGTGCTATTTAGATTGTTTATGTTAGAATTGAATTGCAGATTAATTGTATGTATGTCATGTATATAAATAACTTAGATAGGGATGTTAGTAAAATATATTTTAATGACATTTATAGGCAACTTCCTCTTATAGTAGTAGCAAAAGATTAAAATGTGTCTGTAAGGGCTTATGTGAATAGAAGTTTGCCAAGTGAAAAGTTTGATATACATTTTTATTGTAAATTAGTCCCAATCTGTACTTTTTAACCATGTAAATTGCAGGTTTATTCAGGTTAATAGATACATTCTCAGCTTATAGAAAAACAGTCCTGCACATTTCCATAGAAACTTTCTTCATGGTTGCTGTTGAGTGGTTGTGTTTATAGACCTTTCTTTCATTTCAGGGGCAATAGAATAGAGTGAGCTTGTGTTTTAATAAACTGGTGGTTTGTTTGCATTTAGATCACAGACTCTGCTTTAAACTATTGTGTTGTGTATTAACTATTAAGTCCTGAAATAAATGTCTCTCATAGAATTTCTGTACAACTGAATTTGTATTTTTTTTGGAGCAGCGAGTGTCTCACATGTCTGACCACACGGTGACGCACACGCAGAGCATAAACAAATGAATGCAAACTCTCATATAACTATGATGTTTGATTGATTGATTGATTGATTGATTGATTGATTGATTGATTGAAAAGTTTATTAACAGCTTGTATATTGGGTACAGTACAGTACAGCTCAAAACATACAATTGTTAAGGGGATGCAGACCAGAGAAAGACTTTCGTCTTGTTTACATCAGGGTCCCCCATTTCCAATTCATCATATCATTTAAGACATATAAGACATATTTGACATACAGATGGCTTATTTACAATTTACATACAGGTGGTTTTTTACATACAGATGGCTTATTTACAATTTTCATAGCTTATTTACAATTTTCATGTAACCTGATCTCAAGTACTGATGCTAGTTAGCAGTGGTCTAACAAGTATTCAGTTTACTCACTGTGACATGTGACATCTATTTCTGGTCTGTTGGTTTTATACCTGTTAGGGCGGGATATCTTGCCTTGAATTTTTTCTTATTAGTACAGGTGACATCATATATTTCCAGCATTAACCTCGCCCAACTTAAACCTGGTTAAAAGGCTTATCAGCCAGAGTGATTGAGAACACCTGAGAGGGTGACATTTATTCAAGTACTGTACGAATAAGAGTTACTTGTACTTTTTACACACCACTTTACTGGTATTACAGGGAGATATTGTACATTCAAGATACTCCATAACAAGTAGGCTACAAGTCTTCTATTGTGAATGTAAGTATTATCAAGAAAAAACAATTTAAAGGGGACCTATCATGCAAAATGCACTTTTGTACGTCTTTTATACATGAATATGTGTCCCCGGTGTTCCAGGGAACTCACCAAGTGTCAGAAAACACAACCCTCTCTATTTTCCTCCATACCCAAATCTCTAAAAAAGGGGCTGCAACGGATCTGATCAAAACTGATCCAGATTTGAACACTTCTATGACGTCACAGAAGTGGCGCTACGGCTATTGGGCCAACTCTCCACCTATCAGGGGAATGTGGGGTTGGGCCACGGCCGGCCATTGCCGCTCGAAAGTGCTGGAGACGCTGTAGTACATATGCCAGGCCTGTAAGTGGCGCTGTAGTCTGCCACAAAAGCAGCGAAGAAGACTTCCCGCGCATGGTTACCATGGTTACCCTTCTGTTTATTCTCCGCTGTGGCTCTTTTTCTCCCTCCCCGAGGCAAGCGTTTGCTCCCGCTGCAAACGCTTGCGGGGAGGGATTGCTCAATGCAATCCCTCCCCGTCGAGGCAAGCACTGTAATTCTCTCCGGTTAGTCCACCAGCAGATGACAAACACCCACCTCTCCGTCTCTTCCAAGGAACGAGGGGACCGTGCGGCAGAGTTTCAATTTCAGTTACTTTCGCCGGTCAAGATGTCCGTTAAAGTTTAAATCTTCCGGACAAAATTAGAAAAGTGCCGGTCAAAGGTCTTCTTTGTTATTTATTGAGCTTTAAAACAAATGAATAACGACTCTATATAATAAAACACGGAGGACGGAGATCTCTTTTTCTCTCCCTCTTCTGACAGCCCAGCAGCTGATCAGAGCACGGCTCACCTCTCCTGCAGGGGGGCGTGGTCAGCAGAATCAGACCCGTAGACAGCAAACAGCACATAGAGCGAAATAAGGCATGGCTAAAATGCATGATCTGTTTGGTATTTTGAAAACAGAAACGTATAAATATACCTTATATAGGTATGGCCCTACAATATATCATTTAAATATAGCATGATAGGTCCACTTTAAATATCCAAATAAATGAAGAGAAGTTGCCCTTTTGAGGGAATATCCAATGATGTACTTTATACATGTACTATTTTAGTAAAGTATGTGTACTTAATACGTCTTCTACCACTGTATTTACACACTATACTTTACCCTGCTGTTTGTGCATCTTATTTGCTTTTAGTTTTATCATGCAGAACATCATGCACTTCAATTATGGAACAGAATTTTTTTAATGTACGTCAGCTTATATTTTTACATTTTTTTTATATGCTTATATATCTTATATGTTTGTTTGTTTGTATAGTTTCTTAATATTTAGATGTGGAGAGCTAAGCATAATAATTTCATTTTACAGTGCAACTGCCTGTCATACTGGATATATCTATAATATCTTCCTTTTTGTAACCTTTAGATGTTAATATATAAATATACTTAAATAAATGCACTGTAGGCAGGTATTCTGTTTAGATATATCAGCACATTTCATACAAGAAGCTGCAAACAAAAGATAACAATATCACATATAAATAGACGGATTACAAAAGCAGTAACATTCAAAATAAACCTATGTAATGTGCATTTACAAAATCTGCTTTCTGGGTGTTTATTTCACAACAAAGAAGACCCGCCCCCTCGTGAGTTTTGAACCAATGACACGCGCGCCTCCACCTCCCTTCTGCCTATCAACCCGCGTGCAGCCCACTGCATGACGTAACACCCAGTCTGAAAGTGCAATGGCGATATTGGACAATAACAGCCATCGCTTTCGGGGGACCACATCTTTATTATGTGGCTAATTTTGAAGAAAACTAGCTGCAAAACCACTAATAATATCGGCACGGTGCACGAGCGACGACCCGCGACCAGGAGAGGAGATTTCACATCCTCTGCACGCGATGACAGTTTAGACTAAAACAAAAAAAACGCTGGTAAGTGCAAAGTCTGGTGATTGCAACAGGATTTGCAAATAAGCCATTTCCAGTTGCTTAATGGTCGCTTTCAGGCTTGCAAGCTTCAGATTTCAAAGGGGCGTGGCGGCGTGCTGGGTACCACTTCTGACTAAAAGGATGCTGATAGCTTAGCAACAGCGACAAGGAAGCAGAGCAGAGACAATGGATGTGCGATTTGTCAGCATCGTTACTGGGTAGGATGAGCAGAGCGTGTATTGTGTGAGTGTAAAGAGAGGCAGCAGCATCACTTTGTGCCAAGTCAACCACAAGAAGCAGCCATGAATGCAGACTCGAAATGTAAACAAAGGGTGTGGGCCTCTCAGCTGGCCTGTGATCAGGAACCATGTTGGGTATTAAGGCAGGATAGGATTTCACTCTCCTGTTTCAAAGACTGATACACAGGAAATGATACACCACAGCTCTTCTCTATAACTATTGCAAGTCTTCTTCCCCCCCCCCCCCCCTCCAGGTGTGACGTGTGAACAGACACCATGGCCACACAGGAGCCGTCCCCCCCCTCCTCCATGGAGAGCAATAAACCCGGCTTCCCCAAGAAGATCCTGGGCAACAAGCTGGAGGACAAGCACCTGTGCAACTGCTGCCACAACATCCTGCGACGGCCCTTTCAAGCCCAGTGTGGACATCGCTTCTGTTCCTACTGCTTCAACAGGACTGTCAGGTGAGGGCAGAGAAGCACAACTAAAAGGCTGCAAGTAAAAGTCCTGCATTTACAAATGTACCTACATAAAAGTACCGAAATATTAGCATTAGAAAACACTGAAGTTGCAGAAATATAAGTCATGCATTTACAAATTGACTTGAATAAAAGCGCAGATAATTAGCATCAGAAAACACCGGAATTGCAGAAATATATGCAGAATGGCTCATTTCAGAATAATAAAGAAATATACATGTTATTATTGTAATGTTAGGGTATCTGCAGAGTGTAATGTAGACAGAGTATGAATATTCTATTGCATGTAAAATTCCTGCATTCAAAATATAACTTAACCTTTTTTTCAAGTGCTGAGCAGTCTAATCTTTAATAATACACGTTCATATATTTATTGATTATGTTCTTTATTTAAAAATGAATCAGAAAAATAATGTAATTTTTATCACTGGGTATCTAATTTTTCAATATTTTTGGATTTGCTTTTTAGTGAGTATAATGTATTTGTATTGCAGTAATGGACCCCAGAAGTGCAGTGCCTGTATTAAAGAGGATATTTTTGAAGAACCTACATCGCTTTTGAAACAAGGATGTGTAAGTATTAACATATCAGAACATTTTACTTTTTGAGTTAGTGAATTTCTTAATATAACCTATACTATGAACTCAGAATTAGGGTTTCTTATCTCTATTATTGATTCATAATCGTATCGTAAAAGTAAGGTCAGATTATAGTGACGCCTGTTACGGTTTCCCAAAGTTGATCAAAACCCCCCAAATGTTCAATAGAAATCATTATCATTGGAAAATGTACTCAAATAATACTTCAAACAGCTCACTGACCTGAATCCACACATGACAGTTCTGTAGCTCTGAGGGTTTTTTCAGACTAGGAGCTGGAAGAAAGCTGCCTCATGCTTTATTACTGAGCAGATATGCAGGACAAATGTCTTTACTTTTCTCAATGCACTCCTAGAAACACATGTTAACATACAGGGCTGAAGAAGTTGTGAATATACAGCTTTCCTGAACATGAATGATCCATTAAGTGGAACAGGGACGGTGGAGAAACATCGCAGTGTGACAGCATGTCCATTTTTGTTCAGGCTTTTCCTGACAACGCAGTTCGGAGGGAGGTCGAAAACCTTTCAGCTGTTTGTATCCATGAAAATTGCACTTGGAAAGGCAGCATTAAAGACTATGAGGTAAGGTGACGTTTGACCTACTTTCAGGATTTTTAACAAACAAAATGTGAGGTGTTTTTGAGCTGTGCATGAAGACTTTACTTTTTACAGCTGAACCACGAGGGAAAGTGTGAGTTCATGATCCTCCCCTGCCCCTCCTGTAAAGAACGAATCCGCTTCAATGAACAGGAGCGCCATAATGAGCGAGAGTGCCCGGAGAGAACACTCAACTGCAAGTACTGCAAGGAGCCATTTCACTTCAAAAACATCAAGGTATGAAATAATTTATTTAGACTTAGCTAAGATGCTGGGCTCGTCTGAGTCGGTGCAGCACATCACAGCAGCTCTTTGTGTTATTTAAAGGAAACATTGTCAGCTTTGTTGTTTTGTTTTGTTCCAG